CGTTTTGCTTATTAGTAGGTTTTGATCGTCCAGGCAGTGATAAATAAAGGAGGGAAAAAGAAGATTGTCGTCAAATGACGAGTAAAATCATCATTTAATGCCAGTGAATGATCATGAACTCTCGACCTTTTCGCGAACGAATGATAGCAGATAGCACGTTACGATGCTCCACTTTGCGCTTATCCGTGGACCAATGTTTGACACGTATTCGTTCCGCGCACTATTCCGCTACCGAAACGTATTCTATTCCGCGTATCGGGCTCAGGGTCGCGGCCTCGCGCCCTCGCGGTACGATTTGTACTATGTAGCAGAGATAGCTCCGGTGGTCTATGCGCCAAATCCTCTCCACTCTATCTTCTAGTCTCTTTCTATTGCACTTTATCGTATGGCAACTATCCCTTTTATCTATTTTCTTTCGATATTGGAAGATTAACATCTGGATTGATCATGATGCTCAGTCCTCAACTGAAATCAACACATTTCTTACTCGATGCTTTTCTCTCATAATACTGTCGTACTACGAACTGCGCGTATATATTCCCGCAGTTGCATCACATGCACATCGTGCATCCGTCAATGATAATACAGTAAAAGTTGCGGTAATACGGTGCAACAGTGATTCTCACGATCAAGTATTTCAATGCTGCAGTTATGCTTTGTTAGTTGTCCACGCGTCGAATTCTTACCATCACCAATTATTACTGAGACAAACCTCAAATGTACCTAGAAAATTTCTAAACAGTTCTACTCTCTCGTAGTGTGACACAAAGTTACCTGAAACTTCCGTTTATTTTGCCATTTTACAATTCAGATTTTTTTCACAACTTCTGTGAGAGGAATGATATATCGTTTTTGTAAATTAAGACGGAAACGTTATGTCTTATTGACATAACTGCACTTGGGACTATCTTGTTTCTTGTGGTGGAGGCACTTTAAATTTTTAAGCGCAAGATTTGTTTGTAGATTGATATTTTACTTGTAATTGTTTTATTAGTATCTTTCTCTTCTAATTGCATTAGAAGGAATTAACCGATAATAGTTAAATGTAAGAATAGAAAAAATCGAGTTAACATAGGAGCCTGAAAGAAACTTGAGCCACCTCAAATGTAACAAACTGGAAATTTGAATGAATATGATTAGATACTTATGTCTGACAATTTTAATAATTCTTATACAAGATCTTGTATAATGTATGTAATATGCTTCGAATTTCCAAGACAACTTAAGATTATTTATCAGAATCTGCAAGAATTTTTAGGTATTGAATCATATTCGAAATGATATGAACCTTTGTAGTATCTTCGAATCGCTTCGAAATTGAAATTTAAACGTTTATCGTTGGGCTTGAAAAATATATCAAATTTCAAATTTTCATTTAATATAACAATAGAACAGTCGGTTCACGAAATCAATTTTAAGAACTTAAGGTGAGAATAATAGCGGTCAGATAATAAAAAATATGATCTCAGTCAATTAATACTGCTATAGTGTATGAAACTATCAATTATAATTCTATTGATTTATTTATATAATAAACGTAAAGAAATTTAAATTATTTCATGTATTTATTTTACCTTTACTTTTCTTTAATGTTATTTGAGAAACACTGTAGAAATCGTATAACATGTTTCAAAAACATTTGTAAATGTTATTGGTTATATTTTGTAAATATATTTTTTCATCATTATTCTCGGTTATTTTAAGGTCGATTATTTTAAGGTGTAAGAATGTATTTTGTTATATTTAGAATATTACGGATATAAATTGCTATAAAGTCTACATAAATGGGAAACGTCTTTTATACATTATCATTATACATATGAAAATTTGTCTTTCACGTAGTTATGGTAACTTTATATGTACGTATTTATTAAATTAGTTAAAATATTTTATACAAATTTCAACCACTAATTAAAAAATAATTTTTAATTCTTTTATAAAACATTAATATTTAAAAATAATTATAATTATTAATAATCTGAAATAAAAAAAACGATTGTATCTATTATAAAACATGGTTTATAACAAAGAGCACAAATTAATTTTGCAAACAATTATGCACGAAGGTTTTCTCTCCGAAAACAAAGCAAAAGAGTTAATTATTAAGTTATTTAGTAAGTAAATTTATATTTAATATCAAATACAATTCAAACGTCCATGTACTTATTTTATCTGATATATTTTATATAAATGAAATTGTATATTTCAGATGATAATAAAGTTGTACCAGTAATAAATCAAATAAATGAAATATTACAACCTTTAAACATGTTGATCAAAAGAATACAGTGTGAAATTACAGGACAATTGTATTGGGTTTTAATAAGTACGGTGCTGGATGAAGTAACCAGGTTTGTATGATTGTATGATTGTATGTAGTCAAAAAAAAAAATTTATAATCATTTAGGATGTTTCATTTTCTTCTTTTTCAAATTAAACTATGTAATATTAGGTTTATAAATAGGTATCTTCTATAGGTAAATAGGTATCTTCATTTTACTTTTGTGATTTGTTAATTAACAGCATCTGTAAAAATTTTATATGAAGTTTATCAAAATTTGCATTATTTTATAGGTTTCAAGCTAAATTTTCAAAAAATCAATTGGCTTTGTTAAGAATTATATTTTCTGAAATTATAATATCAAACAATGGATGCATACAAAGTACAATGTGTTTAAATTTATGCTCTTCATCAGATGTGAAGATGTCAAAAGCAGATGCTGAAGATTTTCTTGAGGATATGGTTAATAGAAAATGGTTAATTTACAAGGTACTAATAAAAATTTGTCATGTAAATAATATTATTTTATTAATCTTATATTTATTTTTATGATATTTATAGGATGGTTATTACTATATGGGTATAAGAAGTATAACAGAATTAATGCCATATTTTAAAGCTACCTATGAAAGTAACTTAAATACATGTTACCTTTGCAAACAAATTCTTTTTCATGTATGTTATTCTGAATTAATATTCTTTTTTCATGTATGAAAGTCAAAATTAATATTTCTTTTTATTAATCAGGGTAAAAAATGTAATTGTGAAACCTTCTTTCACTTGTATTGCTTGAAGAAATTCAGTATGGTTTGTGATCCAATGAAATGTCCTAATTGCAATACAGTTATCTCAGATGTTGATCTATCTGGTAGTATTTTTTATTCATTTCTTTTATATTTTTTTATATTTTTTATAATGAAATTAACATACGTAGGTATACAAGATGATTTGACACTAGTAGAAGAGGATACGAGTAAAGTAAAAAAATCCAGCAAAAAGGTTTTAAGAAATAGAAACTAGATTTAGTTAAAATACAAAACAAAATTTATTTTCATCCATAAATTTTGTATTATTATAAATAGTGTACTATGTCATACATGTGCATATATGATATATTATATCTACAAATATATACAGTAAAACAATATAAATAAATCTGTAGTGTCTCAACTGTTCTGATTTTTTTCAAATTTTTCTCTCAAATATTTGAGACCAGCTGTTATACTTGCTTCATCTATACTTCTATTTTGCTTCATCTGATTTTGTACAATATTACTTGATTTATATAGTCCAGGATCAATTGATGAAGTAGAACTACTTTGATTTATTGTTTCAGTCACATTATTATATTCAGTATTAGAATCATTTGTGGATGTACTTGAGTTAGGAGGAAGTGGTATATCATAAGAATGTATTTCATTTTCATAAGAATCTATTTCATTTTCTGTAGCATCCTGTTGATATGGATGAGACTTGATGTCATTATAAATACTCAAGGGTATATCAGCATTTTCAGAATTTAAATAACCAGCACTTTTTGAATTTTTATATACTGGTCCAAATTCAGTAACTCTCATTTTCCTACATTTCTGTACCCACTCTTCCTGAGACATTTCATACCAATGTGTTCTTTTGCCTAGAAGTTCTCCTAAAGCTTTTATTTTATTTTCTTTTTCTAATTCTTTATTTTTTTCCATACTTTGGTTTTCATTATTTTCTTTCTTAGTTTCTTTAACTTTGATTAAATTTTCTTCTGTATTATGCATATTTTCTGATGCATTTTGACTAGATTCACTGTCATTCTTTTCTTTAAACTCTTCCTCTATTGTATCTATAGGTAATCCTGCTCTAATACACTGTCTAATTTTAGCTGCTTTTAATCTATTATGTTCCATTTTCTGTCTCAATTCTTTTAATTCTTTTATCTCTGTCTGTTTTCTCTCTGTTTCTTTTCTTAAATTAAACAGATTCTTCTGTTGCTTAATTCTTTCTTCCTCATCTTGTGAAAATGCATAATAACCAACACCATGGGTTCTAGCTTCATCAAATAAAATATCCTGATAATGTATATTCACTTTATCAGCTAGTTTTTGCGTTTGTTCCTCCCATTTTCTCCTCATAATTTCTATTTCAGGTTCTTTCTCTTCTTCCACATAATTTTGATCAACAGCATCATTGGTTTTTGGATCAATTCCTTTTTTATTTATAATTTGTTGTTTAATCAATTGATCCTTTTCTTGCATCAAAGGCAAATCTTCCCGTAAACATTTTCTTGTGCGGCCAAAACAATCTTCATATTCGACCCAGTCATCCTCATTTTCTAATACTGCATCAGTTTCATCTTTTGATAATGGTTCCTCTTCAGATTCATCTGATTTATTTGTAAAGTCAACAAGAAAATTCTCATTAGTGGTTCTGGATTTTTTTAATCGTTCGTATAATCTTGCTTTTGCCTCCAGCATCAATTTTGACTTTTTATGGGTATCAACATCCTCAATATACTCTGGTATTTTTGAATTTTCCTTTTTAGATTCCTCTTCAACTTTTTTGGACTTCTTCTTTTGTAGCTTTGATGCTATATGACTAATTTCTGATTTCAATTTCGCTTCATTTACTTCATGTTGCTTTTTTAAAAGCTCTGCTTTTAAACCAACGAGCGATGAAAAATTTATATTAATCTTTTTCGTGTTATTCATTTTTAAATAATTATTTAAAATTATTAATTATTTAAAAAATTATTTTATTGATATTACGAATTCATAATTCAATCGCACTTGGAAAATGATTATGGATATACTTTTTCTGATTTATGCCCTTTACAGGAGTGTAATAAATTGAATATTTTATCATTTATTTTTTTCTTAAATGTCAATGTAAAATATTAATTATAGGTTATGGTATTAATAATATTTGCCTTCAAAGTGTATTTAAAGCATAAATTTCAATTTGTATAATCAGATATGTATATATACATTAAAATAAGTAGATTTGATCTTGTTTTAAAGAATCATAACTTTAAGTAACATGGTTAACAAATTCTAAATTTCGTTTACGTGAAAATTTATACAAATGAATCTTTTAAAGATCTTCATACCAACATATCAAAGGTAACTGCTGGAAAGGCTCCACACACACACACATATATTAATACGCGCGCACGCGAGCTTACACGTACACACGCACACCACACACACCACACATATCATCGTTGGAATAAAAGAAATTGAAACTTTTATTAGAAGTATTAATTAAGTAATTATCACTTGTATTATTTAAAAAATTATTTTTATAAGAATTAAGTGTAAATAAATATGTAATATTACTTTAATCATTGAAGAAATGGAAACGGAAAAATAGAGCAAGCATTATTTCTTTTGGTTAAGAAACTATGTTAAAAAAAAATAACTACGCATGACTGATGTTATGCTTATAAATAAACCTAATGTAAATTTTTCAGCTTTATACCATTAAATTCTAAATATGTATTACATATAAATTTTGTTTATTTGTATAATAACATATATGTATAATATTCTTTTAATCTTTTGTCCTTATGAATATTTAATACGGTAAAATAATAATAATGAAATGTACTTTCAATAATATTTATATTAAAATTATATTTAAAAATAATCAGCAAATCGTGTTCCTTAATGATTTATTTCAATGAACTGTTAGTAATATAATTTCAACAATTTATTAAATTACATACAACTGTTGTATTACACACGAACTAATTTTTCTTACTATTAATAATAATTTTCGTAATTAAATATTTTACTTCATTAAAAAATTCAATTAATAAAAAAACATTGAACGAGATTAGGGGGTGAGTGCGTAATATATTTCATTCCCCCGTATATTACTTAAAATAGAAATTATTTTGTGCTATAATACCATAATAAAGTCCTAGCAAAATAAACGTTCGAACAATAATAAGTCAAATTTACATAGTACAAACAAAAATTAACATAAAAATGCGAGATAATAAATACAAAATAAATCGGAAGTCCTCTTTTTTTCCATTCAGTAAACTCCTCCCAATATATTGATCAATTGTGTAAAAACACTAAGAAAAAGTTGCAATATTTACTGATAAAAAAAAATGAACAAAAACGTGAAATTATTACAATTTAATGAAGAATTGAATAGTTCAAAAGGGTGTAGAGCTTCGGGCCTTAGGCTCGATTCTTAAGAACTGTAACAGGAAATTTCGTAAAAAAAAGGTCGGTTTACTTAGTTGCAAACTAAGCGTGTAGTTGCGTATATTTGGGGAAATTGCGATTGTTAGAAGGATTTCATCCGTTGATATTCGTCGCCATTCGTCAATCTGAAAATCGATTGTCGATTATCAAGCCCGTTCGAAACCTGAAGCTGCCGATCTGTTACTATGTTAGTCATATAATTTGCGGACACCACCAGTTAATGCAACGAATAAGTTATTGCACGTTGGATACCGGTAAGTAATCACGCGGCATAACGAGCGATTTAGTTGTCGGTTTAGTTACATATGCTTCTTTGAACATATATATATATATATATATATACATATATAATATATATATAAAATGTAATAGAATAACTAAGATCGTTAAGATCAGGTTTTAGATAATTCTTGAAAACTCGTAATGGCACCCCGTAAAATTGTGAAACATGCAGAGGTAGAAGTAGAGAGAACCCCGGAAGCCGGTGATGTATCGCCCCCAAAGAAAAAAAAGACCGTGGCGAAGACTACGAATAAAATCGACGAAGAGAAGCAAGTTAGATTGCCGAGAGCTGCGAAATTGACGAAAATCGAGCAGACAGAAGGCACAGAGACGACCACAACGGTAACTAAGAACACGAAAACAAAAGTCAAGACGTTGTCGCCTGCTAAAAATGCTTCGGTGACTACGAAAACGAATTCCAAAGTCAAATCTGTGCCGAAGAAAAATAAAGAGGCGGTGGATAAAGATAATATGAGACTTGTGAATGAGCCAATTATAAAAGATGCCGAGGAAACTGAAACGAAAAAGACACGCGCTAGAGCAACGAAAAAGGCGGGAATTGATGTGAAGGAAGAACGTGCGTATTTGAAAATTTTATATAAGTTTTTAATGTTGTTGTCAATACATATTCTCTGAATGAGAATTTATAGCCCGTAAAAATATGGATGATTTGTTTATTAATTTTATTACTTAAGATGATATGATAATTCCAAAGTAATAAATTTTAGACAAATTTTGTGAGTATATACAATTGTGCTAAAAGATATTGAAATTTTCTTTTATTGTAGAATATATGAATTTGATATAAATATTTTTAGCGTGGAATATTGTGATCTTTTAACAAATTTATTGGATATGTTAACCAAATAGTACGTATATAATATATTAAATATTATATACAAGTACTACAATAGAAATTAATTAAGTTCAGAGTTTTTTGTTTCTCATGTGGAAACAATCTCAAATATACATTTACATATTATTAAAATTATTCTTTTGTTAAATTTAGTTATGAAGTTTTCTTGAAAAATATAAAGTATTGATTACTTTTATATTTCTACGTTGAATAAATTATGTAAATTAAATATTATTGAATAAAAAGTTAACAAAATTGTACTTATCATATTTCTCTCCTCATATACATATAATATTGTACTCATAATAAATTAATAATCATGTATTGATTTTAGCTAAGTCAAAGAGAAGAATTAAAAAACAACCTATTAATGAGAATGCTGAAAATTTAGAAGCACCAACTACAAAAAAAAGAAAACAAATAAATGTTAAAATAGCATCAAAGGATAGTAAACCAAAACCAAAAACAAGAGCAACAAAGAAGAAACCTGATGCGACTAATGATACGAAAGATAAAGTTAACAACAAAGCTAAAACTGTTAATGATAATGAAACTGAAAATGATGTTAAATCAGGAGATGATAAATTTACTAAAGTAACAGTACCAAGAAAAACAAGGGGTCGTAAGAATGAACCTAATTCAGATGACATAAATGATGAAACAATAGAGAAATTGTCATCTTCGGAAACAGTAGACACTAATAATGAAAGTGAAGAAGCTGAAAATAATGAATCAGAATTAGCTCAAACTGTTAAAAAAGGAAGAAATGTAAAAAAAAAAGAAGCACCACAAAAAAAATCTACTAAAACGCGTGGCAAAGCTAACGAAAATGTCACAGATATAACAAAAGTAGTTAAAGAAGCACAAAAGAAAACAAATAAAGAAATAATAGTTACTATAAAGAAAGGTCGAGGTAAGGGTACAGAAAATACAACGGAGGAGAAGAAAGTATTAAATTCGTCAGAAACATTAAATAGTAATAATAACGTACAAAAATTGTTAGAAGATAATGATAAAAAAGAAGATGCAGAAAAAGAGGAGACAAAGAACACCAAAACGTCGGGAATGCCCAAAAAAATAGATGATATGATTATAAAAGATGAAATAAATGAAGATAATATGATGAGTACATCGGTACACGAAGAAGAAAATTAACAATGTATGTTCTATTTTTACTTGATATGTTTCTTCGAGAAAATTATATCATTAATATTTTAATATATTTGATAAAAATACAAATGTCTATGAGTATTTCTATATTTAGAAATACCAAAGAAATATATACATTGTAAAATTTCAATAATACATTTTGGTTACACATTGTTTCAAAAACTGTTATTTGTATTTTCTATGAAGTATTTTACATAGCATAGTTTTACAAACTTCTTATTAGTGTTTTCTATGAATAAAGTATATATAAACACTTAGTATATTTAATATTTCTACAATATTTAAAGTTGTTTATTTGTTTTATGTAAGGATTGAAGAATGTGTTTGTTGCTACAAAGCATTTAATTATAAAAAAAGTGCCAACGAGTTTCTTACTTTATAACGTTTTATGCTATATTCAGTAGACATACACTGTCATTCTAAATAATACTACAGTGTTCTTTACTGCATTCTTTATTATGTTTTATAATTATTAAGTAAGTACTTTCTGAAAATATTGAAGAACAACAAATTGGAAAATGAGTAATTCATTTTATATTGGATCATTTTGAGTTTAATAAATCTTTATATTCATATTGATATGATTTGATTATGATTAATTGTTTAAAACTTAATATATTTGTTTGTAGATATTTTTGTATTTTCTTTTCGTAAATTAAAGTTATTCTTAATGTTTGACGAAAATATATAATTGTTGTTATGTCATATTTTGTTTGTATGCATTTTTGTTTACATTTATGGTTACCAAATTATTTTTAAATATTTTTGAAATTTTCAATAATAACATTTTGAATTACGATATAAAATTCAAGTATATATGTGTTTATATATACAAATGCACAAATTTTAATATATTTGAAATACTAAGATTGCCATTGTTAGAAATTAAATTGAAGTGTTCCTACTTTAATAACCAACATTTAAGAACTCTTATGATACAAAAAAATTTTTCATTATATTATTATTCTCTTTATTGAATTACTTTGCATTATTATTCTTAATATACTTTTAGTAATTATTATAAATGTATTTGTGGAAATTAACGTAACCTATAATAATTTATGTTTTCTTTAAAAATTTAGGTATACTTTATAATTTTATTTTATTTGGATATTAATAAAATCAAACAGTGTTTTAATTTTTATTTTTTTTGTATTTTATCAAATGTAAATATAGAAGTAATCACAGATAAATGAATATATATATATATATATAATTAAACTTTATTTTAATAAATAAATATAGTAATATAAAAAAATTTATAATAATGTAGATTTTCAGAATTAAAGTATGAAAAATTATTTTACTAAATTTATTTCCACTTTTAAACTAAACAAAATTGCACATTACAAGATTACTTCAATATTTCGCGCCAAAAGTTTAATTTCAATCACTCTATGTCTCTAGTGGAACTACTTTAATTACTAGAAGATTGATCGATTCGTTATAATTATATATTATCCGTTATAATTATACATTATTAAATTTCATATCTTTAAATAAAAAAAAAAAGAGAAAACTGATGGTCGTAGAGAATTAAAAAGCTACTATAAACTATAAACCAAAAAATTCGTAATTTTGCTGAATTCGTTTTATATCTTTCCTTTATTTGTATTCGTCAAAAAAACGTCAATTTTACATGTAGAGAAAAAAGAAAAATTTTACATTTGGAGAAACATTAAATTTTGTGGATGCTGCTTAGTGATAAATTTCTTGAAAGAAGATGGCGCTCGATTAATGCTCGCGCGTACAGATGATGTAGTGCTATCTATAAGATTGTAGTAAGTTAGAACGCTCTCCGTTGTGGATCAAGGAAGCAGTGAGAAACAACGGCGGAAGTGGGGATCGTGCGCCATTTTCTATTTTTGTATAGCAGTGAACTAGTGTTGTGTGTGTATATTTTGTGTGATAAATCGATGGATTATTAAATAATTGACGGAGGACGTGTCGATGTAATGAAATGATATTCGGTAACACGTGCTTCGAATCTCATGCGAATAATTATTATTTTGCGTTTGTCTTCTATATAACCCGTGCGTAAACCCGTAGCTCCTGTATCACGTAAACACTTTTTCTTCATTTCTCTTTTGAGCTAAGTGAGAGTGGCTTTCGAGAGCTATCGGTTCATTAGAACTATTACCTGGCGGATCGACGTTGAAATTATATCGTTTTGCCCTCCTCGATTGCGGGGTCCTTTACTCGCTTTTAAAGATAAAACTTCAAGATATAGAGAAGGGAAAACCGTCTGTGATACTAAACAGTACTAAGGTATATAGCTAGAATATAAACTCTACAATTAGATATATACGTATATATGGCATATGAGACGTAGATAGATCTCACATAAAAGATCTAGAAAAAATAAAGTCTGTATAGTGTGTGCTGTGAATTTACCTTACTCAAGGGATAAACGTGGTAAAGAGCAGAATGTCTCAGGAATCTGTGACAAATGACAAGCAACTGCCAACTCCTAAAGATAAAGGTATGAGATCTACTAGTTTACATTATATTACATTAATTATATATCCGTATGTGTGTGTGTGTGTATGTATGATGTATGTATGTATATATGTATGTGTATGTGTATGATGCATGTGTGCATATATGTATGTATGTATGTATGCATGCATGTATATCATAAGCTTCGTGTAATATATGTGTATGTATGTATGTATGTATATATATATATATTGTGTATATACAAATGTATATTCATTATCATTATTACATTATTTTATATATATATATGTATTTTATTATTATTGGATCATTTTATGTACATATATGTATATATATAATATACACATATAGATAATATTTTATAATTATAATTTCTTTTTTAAATGTATGTCCAAAATATGATTACAATCTGCTTAATTTTATGCATTCAAATAATCTACATCAGCTACATTGTTACTATATCTATAAGGTCTGTAATCTCCTTCGTAGAATAGATGTGTTTTGATTTTTAATAGAAAGTAGAATATGAGGAAATGCTTCAATGTGGTAAAGATAAATGTATTCATATTAATAATTTTACTGTTTGCCTTCATGATTACATGTAATTATCTCGTCTAGTCAAGATATAGTGTAGTCAATATATTTTTTCATATTACAATTATTCAGAAAAAGCAAAAATTATACATAAGTTTTAAAAGCTACAATATGAAAATTTGTTTGGAAATTGATGGTGATAGTATATATTTGATTGTCATTGAAATATGGATCAAGAAATTCAATGTCAAAGATGTTGGTATATGTATATATGTGTGCGTGTATATGTGTGTGTGCGCGTGTGCGTGTGTGTTGTGTGTCTATAAAATTGATGTTTTGTTTTTTATGCATAAAAATATTAAATAATTTGTAATGGAAGGAGAAGATTATAATTTTTTATTCTTAATGTTAGAATGTTAGAATGTTTAATGATTGGTTATTTGATTATTATTTATATGTTTGAGGATAAAGAATTCTCAGTAGAATTCTTAAAGATTCAAAGATATAATAAGTACAAGTAAGTACAAGTATAAGTTTAATATAATGAAATACGATATGCTAAGAAATTTATATCATTTATTGTATAACTATTTCTAAAGTATATAGATGTTTAATGACATACTATAAAATAAATGTATAAAGATGTACATTCTCAAAAAGGACAAAATGCTAGGGTAAAGATATTAATATTTAATTTAAGGTATTAAAGTATATTGATTTAAAGATCAACATTTATGTATCTCTTGCATTAATTAACAAACATGACTTACGCATAATATCATAATGGTGAAAAATATAAATAATTACTTAATATATAGTTACTTAATATACAGTTACTTAATATACACAACACGGTATTTTTTTGGAATTCATTTAATATATTTTAATTTTTATCAACCAATGTTAATATCAATGATAATTTTTTAATCTTTATTTTAAATATTATCTATTAATCATAATAAATGTCCAAATTTCAATAATGATAATGATCATGATAAATATCATAATTTCAATAATTGCAATAAAATCACTTGATGAATGATTAAATAATACGTGTATATATATAGATATATATATGAATAATTAAATAATGACTAGATGACTTGATGAATAATTAACATATATATTATATACATATTAATATATATATATAATAATTAACATATATATATATACATATTAATATATATATATTAATATATATATATATGGAATGTATACGCGCGCGCGCGCGCGTGTGTGTGTGTGTGTGTCTGTATGGAAACATTTGAATATTTATTCGGAAAATATCAGTTACAAATTACGTTCAAACGTATTTAAAAACAAAACCAATAAGATATAAAGTTGACAACAACGTTCTCAGGGACGTACTTGATTGGATTGTAAACTTTGTTTCGTCTAAAAACCAGCCGCCGGTTTCGCCAGTTTGTATCGTGCTGTACGACACGCAGTATCTATGAGAATTTAAGAATTTCGTTTCTTAAACGCGTGTTACACGAACGTAAACGCATCTAGAGAAATTCGTAAAATTATCAAAAGTTGAGAACGATATCGTTCAGTTGTGCGCAAGTTGTATGAATCGTTTATCTAACGTATGAAAATAATTTTACACTTGTCGCGTGTTCCTCGGTTTTTTTTTTTTTTTTTTTTGTATAAATTATATTGTTCATTAACGTCGTGCGAGTTTCACATCTCGTCGTTAATTTTGCCGTTAACTTTCCCTGAAGTAATTCGAAACGGTGATTCCTTTCGTCCTTTATTGATAAACAATTGTACGACTATCCGATATACGGTTTCAATCGGCGAACTAGATCATATCGATAAAAATATATAGACGAAATTGAAATGAAGCTAGACAACAGACAACGCAGGGTTGCTAGTTCGAATTGGTATCGGCGGCCACGAAAACGTCCGCTGGTAGGGCCAACAGGATCTCCTCTGTTAGACGAAACACTTGTTATGCAAACCAGGTCTTTCCGATGGTTTCGCAGGAATAAATCTGTCAACGTTACAAAACGGGTTACTTTTCGTAAGTACTTGCCCCCCAGTAAATGGTCGATAATCTCGTTCCGGCGTTGAAAGTTGGAAAGAACGTACCCACGCCACGCGTTCAAATCTTCGTTAATCGTAGGTCCTGCTCCAATGGCGGAAGTTCGTTATCCTATAAAGTTTGCACACATATTCAAGTAATCCGATAGCTTTTAGCAGTTGACCAATTTGAAAATCGCACACGGTAATTTAGATGTAATTTACGATAAATTTTATAAACTTACGCTTGAAATACACTTAACTTCCTAATAGTGAGCAGAAAGAAACTAATCGGTTGATGGTTTATATAAAAATATATAGTTCAATTTTAAGAATAGGGCAGATCTTGAAAATCCTTGAAAATCCTTCGCATTACTGGTGTAGGCCGCGTTAGAATCATTTAACTTTGCCAAATAAAATTTTCCCCTGCTTCTTGACGGTTATGTGTATCATGTTATGCCATATTATGTTATAAATAAAAGTAAATTGAAGATTTTCCGCAAGAGCAACAAGTGTTCGTACTTACTGAGTACTATATTTGATACAATTTTGCTTGTATATATGTATGATGTGAATTACGTATGAATAAAATGCTATTAATATTTTATTTTTAATATTCTAAAAAAAAAGTATGTGTATAAATAGATGATACATAAATTTATATTTATTATCTTAACTATTTTTTTTTTTCTTTTTTTTTT